AATTCAGAAATGTTGTATTGAAATTCTATAAATAGTTTGCGTATGTGTAAACACATCTCGAAGCATTGATGTTTGAAACCTGTTGATTATGATTAACACACAGGATCCTATTACAAAATTATTTCATTCAAAAGTCAATGTTATCGAATATAATGTTATAAAATAGTTGTATACAGTATTGAACTTTAAACGTAAGTAAGTAGAAGTAATATTGAATGTGATCGTAAAAATAAAGAAAAATAAATGACATTTTTTTATATTTGTCTCATGCATTTTGTAATGTAATTCAATTGTTATTATAGTTTCTTATCAGAAGGTAATTTTTATCCTTTTCTAAATTCTCAATTTCAGTCTACGCTGGTAAAATTAATTTGGCAACAGAGTTGAATTTTGAGAAGCACGTAATTTAAACATCCTGGTCTTGATAGATGACTTAATCAGACTTAGACTTGATAGATGACTTAATCAGATGACTTAATCCTGCTTAGATGTTAATTACGACCAAGAAGGTATTTAATGTTATGCAAACCAACAAGTTTAATTATAAACCAAAATATTCCTTGTAAGGGATACCTAAGCATTTTTTTCATATTCAATAGAAAGGTTGCATATAATTTAGGGTTGTAGGTAAGTGCAAGCATAAGAATAAGCTGGGTAGGCAACAACAGGATGATTTTAGTCAGTTTGAATCTAATAAACCTACTCGCCCCACTCGCCCCACTCAGCGCGGGGCAAGACATTGTACGATTTTCCACTACTAAAAAAACAAAAATATTCATATTTGTTTTTTTTTTTTTAGTTAATGCCATTTATATCGTCAAACTCCATAACACGATAACCTTCTCCTTTCCAAAGCGCCATCTATCCAGTCTCTGTCAAACAATGAGTCTTATATTCTTCTGTTTTCTGTTCTGCGTCACCACACGGTTCCTTGGCTCTATGAAAAAGAAAATCAGATAATTTACTAACTATAGAAATAAAATCCATATTATATTCTACTTAAAAAATTGTAGCATTTTGATTTATATTGATAGAACTCCATTAATTAGCCTTTGAAATGTTCCCAACTTTAGCCATTGAGTAGAACAGTTGTAACAAGAAAATGCTTCAAACAAAATGATTTATTTCGCTACAAGAGAGAAATATTTCGACACGTTTGTTTCATAGCTTCAGTTTTAGCTAGATGGTACATTATTATAAATTATGGGTTTGAGAAACCTTTGCACCTTTTTCTAATTTTTTTTAGGTTGAGGTCAAAGCTCTCACTTAAAATATTACTGCATATCAGCCGAATGTTTAAAACACCTCCAAAGGTTCAATTCAAAGATATCTCATCTTAGATTATGTCATCTATAGTATTGTAGAATATCTAGCGTATGGCACGTAGCGTTCCATGTGCGGCTCAAAGAGCCAACAGAGCTGATGTTCAGTCGAGGCTGAGAGGCAAACGCAATAAGGTACCTACCGCAGCCTCGGCTTGGAGTATGAAAAGGAACGGAGTATGTATTAGTTAGTAAGAGTATCTTTTTTTGTGAGTGAAAAATCATCAAATGACTTCTCCCGCCCAGGGCCTGGCGACAGGATGTGTCAGGCTCTTACTGACTAAAAACCCCCCTGTTCCTTCTCCTGCTCTGGGCCGAGGTCGCGGTGCCTCATTGCGCTTACCCCGCAACCCCGGCTGAACATCAGCTCTATAGGGCCCCGTCTGTGGTGGTCTATTTGCTCTTTGAGGCGCGCGTGAAACGCTACGCGCCGTACGCTTGGGTTAGTAAGAGTATCCTGACAGTTCACTTGATGACCACAAAAAAAAATTGTAGAATATTTGGGGTTAGAAATAAATTTCTGCGCTGTATGTCATATATCTTATCACGAATTGCGCACGTAATTTGACAGGAAAAGATAAATAAATCGCATACGTATTTACGTATTTGTTAGTGACGTTGCATTGACGTCATGTTCATTGTTGGTGTTACCTAATATTAATCTTTTATCTCTGAAGTAGTTATTTGTTTTTATTGAACGGGTTGCTTAATATGTGAATGAGTAAACACGAACTTATGACGTATATTAGCTGGAAAAGTTCCGATACATTTTATGAGTAGTTCCGACTGATGTAATATGTAAGTCAGCTAAGGGACTTACGGCCGGTTTCCGAAAGGCCGATCAATATTAAAATCAATTTAATCACTTGTCAAATCATCTGATTGGTTGTTGACAATTCAGTCTAACTCAGGCACTCAGATGACTTGACAAAAGATTAAATTGATTGAGATGTAATACTGTTTTATTTCGGAATAGTTTTCATTGCAGTTATCGTAAATCTTTCATACAATAGAGTAAACGCTTAGTACAAGAAAGACTTTAGCAAAAGAATGATTTTAAATCGAATTTAAAAATACCTAGCTTGCCTCCATTACATTTCTTTGCAACAAAAGCCAATTTCTTTCACAGATTTTTCAAAGACAGTTTTAAAACGTGCTGTAGTTACGAAGACTGCTTGCTAATATATAAATAAAAACTAAATGTACCGTTACGTTACGTTACAAGGCTTTTACACAAGCTTCTTGAGTAATCCGACCAAGACATTTATTTAAAAATGTACATATAGGTATAAGTATGTACCGTCATGGTAGCCAGGCAGGCATCAATGTATGTATATATAATAACTTTTTCCGAAATATATGTACATTCTAAGTTTAGACACAACTGACCATTGGAGAAGAATAACATCTTGGACTTAATAATATCTTCTAATTATAAATTCAAATCAAATATCAGTCAATAAATTCAAATCCCCAATCCACTTGAAGCAAGCGTGGTGATTAATTCTCAAAACTCTGTGTTAGAAGTGGCCTTCGCTAAGCAGTGGCCAGTTATAATTAAGACGATGTGATATGCTTCTGCCACTGTCCATATATCCCTATGTATGCTTAAATCTTCCAAATAACGCAACGGATTTTGATGAACTTTTGTTTGATAAAGTGTATGAATGCATTACAGTGCGGAATTAAGTACCAGTATTGCAACCGTGCTTAGTCGGGGCGGATCGTTACTGATATAATATATTATATTAGATTTATCAACTGCTAAAACTTAAGATGCCTGTTGATCTAGTTTAAGTAGATAAAAAAGCTGTTTAAATATAAACAAATATGTTAATGAAATAAGCATATTAGTTAAATAATTTGGATAAATTCGTATCTACCAAGTCACTGTGCGAGTGTTTGTTTCCGTGGCGCAACAATTCCTCTTGGGATTGCTCGAAACTGGAGCCGTCTATTAAAATGCCGCTTACAACATCAGACTCATATAAATCTCACATGTCTAATTGCTTTACGTGATTTGAGTTTTAATAGGTCAATTAACGTATTGCGATTGTGGATTTTTCATAAATATATTTATTTATTTATTCTTTATATACAATTGCATATCGGAGGACTTAATGCTAGAAGCATTTTCTGTCAGTCAACCTTTTGGTAGTGCAGAGGTGTGTGGTAGCAATTTAGGAAGTTACGTAAGGTGTGGAGGTCTAAATCAATTCTAAGTTACATACATAAAATAATATATGTATATAATTATAAATTGTAACACAGGAGAAAATCCTAAAGTGGGGCAACGTTTTGTCAAAAAAAAAGAATTGTCTTTCAACAATAAGAGTTGGCTTTAGTATAAATCTTAGCTTAACTTTACCGTTGTAATTTTTTACTAGAACCAGGTCCCAGAATAATGTTTGAGTAACTAGTTAGGTGAGATGTACAACATTTATTGAAAATTGGCACTACAAGTACTTTTCCCAATTTATCGACGTGATTATGTCGATATTTAATTATGAATTAATGACATAAATAGCATTTTTTACCTAAAATAATGAAACCTCTTTTTAAAACTTCAAGATATTGTACACATTGTAATGTGTACATTAATGTAATGTAATGTACAAAATGAATAGGTGGTTAACACATACTTTTCAGCATGTAAAGACCTGAGAACCGACGATTAAAATAAAAAGACCCGACATACATATTCTGACCTTACTAAAACGTGTGGTCACAAAGAATTCCCTTATTAGCGTGAGCAAAGGAAAATTTAAATGAATCAGTGGAGGATCGCCACGTTCGTGAAAAAATTTGAGAGCTACTCCACTTCGCTTCCCCTACCCTCTATTGTGGTGACACTTGACCCGTTTGTCTAAGTTGCTTTCTAGTTTATACTTGAGCTAAACTTCGCATGTACTCTGTATATGGACCTTCTATTGTTTACTAAGGACATATTTGCTAATTAAGTATATCGATAATTATGAACATGAATGTGAAGGTTTACTTGTACCAAAACTAAAATATGACTTATTTAATTAATTTAGAGTAAGTTCAAAGTATGTAGTTAAAACTGTAAAGGTTTTTGGGTTTAATAGTTGATAAACAAATACAACTGGACATAGAGCAGTGTAGTAACCTACAGCGCAATTTAGTGTGCAACGTCGCTTTTCACGTATTCGTATGTAACATTACGATGTCAAGCGTGCGTGTACAGAGGCTGTTTGAGTTTAGGTTCTATTTGCTACAAACATGACTTCAGCATAAACAGATGCTACACTGACATTATTTACCTCACATTTTCCTTTGTTCGTGAGTATGTTCATCAGGTAATAAGCATAACTTTTTGTTTCTCTAGGTTGAAGATTCGTTGTACGGAATTGGCAGACATTACACGAAGAAACCTTCCTACCCTACCTAATATGGCTCAAGATCCCTTCCATAAAACATTCCTTGATCGCTCTTCAACTAACATTGTAGTACGCAAAAGGCAACTTAACATTTAAAAACATTCCAATCGACGTAAACTTTGTAACTTATTCCTGTGTAAATCGTGTCCCGAATACTTTACTCCCTGTAAAGTACTGAACAAAGTTACTTGCCACTAAATCTTAGTAGTAGCTCAATCGACGCGCGTAAACCTCTTCGGAGGGCGCGAGGGGCCTGCGCGATGCGGTCTCGCCAGGGATGTACGTAATATATCCTGCGGATGAAGTAGTTTCCCTGACATACAGCTCGCAATCGCTGCCCCGGCCACGGCAGCGGCCTACGCTTGACATTATCTACGGGCCGCCGCCGCGAGCGCCGTACAGCGCGCTACCCCCGCCCCGCACCCCCACCCTCTCTTGCGATAAAACCCACCTCAAAACGGCGCCTCCGGAGCCTCCAGAGCGCGCGCCGGCATCGCCGACGCCGTCGCTCGAGCGCCCAAAGCTGCGCGAGCGCACCAAAGCAAAGCTGCTCAAGAAGCTAGGCCGCCATGAGGATACTGAATTCGGCAAAATTGTTAGGACCCCCGCTCCCGATGAATTCGAATTGCCCGCACCCCTTCCCACTCCTGCGTTCTCCAGAAAGAATATCTTCGATCGCGACTTTGATGCACTGTTCGAAGTCGCAAATTCACCGCAGTTTGGTGCTCATATCCGAGTCACTACGCCGGAACCGGATCGCCGATCAGATCTCTCGGCCGCACACTTTCCAACACCAACTGCTTCTACGCTGAGCCTCCTTCCACCACGGCCCCAGTCCGAGCCGAGTTCCTCGCCTGCGACATCAGCTCGCACGTCCACGCCTTCGACACCAACACCACAACGGTCGTCTACTGAAGGTTCAGAATGAGAGTGCGGTTTGGGTTTGAAAACGCGTGGTCATCTAACTAACCCGTATCTTCACATTAATTGAGCATGGGTACATGGCAAAATAACCGCATTAACGCTTTACTAGGCACGACTCATGTACATGATGTTACACATAACAGAGTGAGGGTTCTTGCGTTGATTAATATTTCACCTATGCTTGCTTTGTATGTAATTTGAAATTGGATTTACTCTGTTTTTCTCAGGTCCAACACCTAAGTCGAAGAAAGTTAGTTTCTTCCGTAAGCTGAGTAGAGCAAGGGAGCAGTCGGTGCCGCCGCGCCCTACCATCATGCAGCAGCAACCGTCTGTTGAGATGGCTTTGCGTGAACTCACGCACCCGACGCATAATGAACAGCTTAAAAATCAACAACAAGTCACCTTCAAATTGGTGAAAACAGGTTAGTCTTTATATTATTTTCTTAAAAAAATATATCCGAAAAGTGCGCAATATATCAAAAACAAACAAATACTTCTACAATAAAATTTTAACGATAATCCTACGTGATAATACTCAGAGAATGTATATAAACAGCTAAATGGTAAACACCAAAACATTACATTAATCCAAAGTTTCCTTTACTACAGTTCATTTACGATCTGTTTATGAAATTTTAATGTATGCTATGAGGAAGGGAAATGCTAAATACATATTGGATTATTCCCGTGCAACGTTGGCTGAATAAAATAGACTATGTACTCGGCTGAATAATGCAGTGCCTCTAGTCTAGTCAGGACAAAGTATTGTTATGGATAAGCCCATAGCCGCACAGTGAATACTTGATTACCTATTTAATATATTATATAAACCCTTATGTTATATATGGCCATAAATCTATCATGAATGAAGGACATGATCGTATTATGCCTTACCTATTCAGTCAAGATTCATGTTGGCTATACGCGATTTAAAATATGAAAACTAAAATATTCTCAAGTTTTTTTGATATTCTATCAGTGAAAGAGTTTTGGAAATCCGACCAGCGGTTCCAAAGATTACCTCCTACATACAAACTTACAAATTTTACCTCTTTATAATATTATCAAAATTATCAAAATATACTCGTATAAGTAAAACTATCACCTACACGAAGTTTAAACCAAAGTCTGCAATGAAAGCATTTAGGTACTCGTTTATCCCACGTTTCTTTTTTACTTTGCACTTCAAAGCAGAACAATGTCAGTATCGCGAGCTACGTCTCTGGCACAAAGGACGGCCTATTATACGAGTTCTCTCTTATAGTGTGAAATCGTCACTACCGAACACGTTCTACCGTCAAACTAGAATCATTCGCAGGCTTACACCCTTTGTGTTTTATTCCCTTACCGTTATTCCGACTCACGCAACTGCCTCGGGGTCCTGCCTGACATCGCACCAAGGCCACACCGAACCACTCGCTTTGTTTATCTTGCTATCGTACTTCGAACACGAAATGGTTTTAATGTCAAAAGTAATTTCTAAATAATAGCTTTCTTTAATGTCTAACGCCTTCTTTGTTGAGCGTGTGGGTGTACAATAATAACCTTTTTGTCTAAAAGGTGCATTGATGCTATATTTATATTTGATTCTAAGGTTGAATTCTGTATTTTTGAAATTTTTTCTTAAGAAGCCTCAAAAACACGCAGACAGAGCACATTTTTTGCTGCTCATCTGAGTTATGAACTGTAATGGCAAAAACTAATCACTACAACCAAAATAAAACAAAGTTTTCCGTTCACTTTATATTCATATTCATTAAGCATGAATCTTAATTATTGTCATAATATTCGGGATAATTAAGGGACTTTGAATTTATCCTATTCCCGAGGACTTTCAAAGTTAAAGTATACGTTTACGCTTCCAGAAAGAGAGATCGTGACTCGACTATGAAATGGCTCACCATAAATAACCGTCGGTAGATTTTAGCTCGTTAATAGCGATGTCTAAATAGAGAACTGGTGTTAAAGTATTTTCATAAATCATAATATAAAGAGGAAATCAACAGAGCATGTTATCACGCTTGGTTTTCCCTAAAGAGACTAGCGATGTTAGACGAAATTTTCGGTAAATAAATGCGAGTGCTTCAGTTCTGTTTAGTTAGGGATGTGCCCAGTTATGCATGTTACTTCAGACCACATATAACATTACTGACTGTATTTGGATTAGAAATAGAAACTTGAAACTACAATTCTTGTCTAAAAACTAAAAAAATATTCGAGTACAATGTACACCGAAAAATGAGTGAATGATGATGGGAGAGCCATATTTCGGCTCAAATGCATTTGCTCGACAGGAGTGACACCACTGTCTTACTGAAAAACGACGTGAAAAAATTAAAGTGTTGTGTTTCGACGTGTGAGTGAGGTTACCGGAGGCTTGATCCTTCTTCCCTCCTCCAAACCCTCCCCAATTCATAAATTTCCGAAATCCTACTCTTCAAAAGGCTCTCAACGTACTCGTAACTATTCTGATATTGCGGCGCATTGTCGGCGCCGATTGCTTACCATCAGGTAATCCGTCTGCTCGTTTGCCGTTCTATAAATAGCTCGTATATTGCATTATTTTGTGCACATGTAAATAATCAGCTACTTCATTTTAAGTCCCTCAAAATTGAGCATATTCATTTTAAAGGCTTAGTTTTATGCGGTTAGTTGTCTCGATTGCGGTCGAATCTCAGAGCTCGTTGTAGCAATGCAATTTGTTAGGCAGCCACAGTGCCAGTACGTACATAGGATTACCTCCGTACTACATGGAGTATTTTGTTACACTACCGCTTTTTGGGACGTATTTCCCGTTCGGTGCCATACATTCATTTCCAGGCTCACCGAAATAAAAGCTTTTGTAGTAGTAGCAACACAGAGTTTTCTAGCCAGATAATAAAATATTTTCTCCATCGTTTTCCAATCTTTTATAGTCAAAAGTAAGCTAATTACTTCATTTGTTTTATTGACCTATCATTATCTCATTGTTTATGCTAATTCAAATTGACCCACATAAATGGCTTAGCATGCAAATGATATTCATATAAAAGAAAAACGAAATGGATTTTAGCTTTCCACGCAAAATTGCAGCGCTCGTCGTTTGCAAATCATATTAACAATCAAGCAGACATTGGTACTTTTTACTGAAATATCATCTTATTGTTACGCACTAGGTTTATACCGCTAACTAGTCATTCTTAGTGCCCCATTAATAACAAAGTAGCCATCTTGTCTTCGTAAATTTAGGTGAAAGTCCAAACTCCCGCAATTAAGTTTTAAGTACCCTTCTAACCATGATGTATTATTTTTTATCCACTACTTGATCCAACAAGATTTAGGAAGTATCTCTTGGGTCCTAATAAATGTTTGGTCAAAGTTTACTTTGCCGGAATCAGTTGTCCAATAAATCCCTAGACACTGAAGTTAGGGTATGTATGCTCGACCTTTTGTGACCCGAGTCTCAACGACAACTTTCCATTTGCACAGTATTAAGTGTAAGTGAATTAGAAGCGAAAATAAGAAGAGAAAGGAAAACTTCATCTGAGTTATTCATATAAGACAAAATAATGTTGACATAATAGGCGATTAAATGACTGTGATTAAGTTTTACTTTGATCTACAATTAGAAAAATATATTGGTTAACAATTTATGAGCTCGTTAAATTAAATTGGGTTTCTGAAACCCACTACTAGGAACTATTTAATTTCCTGGTAGGAACTATTTAATGGTGAATGAAAACAATGGCAAATTTTAATCTATAACCAACGACAATGCAATGTTATTCTCATTCGTTTAAAAAATAAAAATGTTGTTTGAATTTTCGATTCCACAAAAAGATGGACACATAAAAACACGTGTACTTATTCAACTGTATATTGATATGTCCAATCGACTGATTAAAAACAATAAAAGCGCAGGAAGCGAAAAACGCGCTGAATAAATTAATAAATGTAGCCACGCAAAAGAAGATACAGAAACAATGCAGCGCTCGCCACAATTTACTTTGAATCTGCTGAATGCGCTTTATTTACTCGAACAAAATTTTACTGGAAGTGGCCAGGTGTAACGGTATTACCGAAAGACCTTTTATCTAACGATTTGGAACGTGAAACGAAAGATATTTTGTTTTTATTATGTTCTTTGATTTCAGAAAAATAGGTTCCATAATATAACCTAAGTAATAGATTTTCTATTGCTTTTCTTATAAGAAAATTGCGCTAGTTTTCACACTATTTTAGGTACACAAGTACATTTTATTTTATTTTTCAGAAAGTAGTTTTTACTATAGATAAGTACATATTTCATTACACCAAACTACGGCAAAAAAATTCTAGACCAGAAATATTTATTAACACCCCATGTATTATTTTAGCCAAAACTCATAGTTCAGTTCTAAAATATTACAAAACATTTGCCATAACGTGGTTTCTGTAGAATGACTGCTATTTTAACATACACACAAACATTTTCCGCGGCACATTACATAGGTAAATGGACTCGACCATGCCTTAATAATGCAGCGCTCAGCCACCGCGAACTAGTAATAAAGTTGCTAGTTTAGCATCGTGGTTGAATAATGAATAGCAAACTGTGCAATGTACCAATTTTTAATTAGTATTTTACTTGAGAATTGGTGTTAATGTTTCATGACTTTGCTGCGAGTTCAGTTCCTTGACTTAGTATAAGTTTTGTAGTTGTACTTATGCAAGTAAGATTTTTTGGCTAATTGTGTTTAACTTTTCTTGTTTAAGGCTTAATATTCCCAACTAAGAATTGCAAATGTAATTGCTATCTAATAATGAGATCTAGATTTAAATTTTCAAGTGGAACAATGTTATTAGAATTATGTTCTGAATTCAAATACGATGATATTAGTCGCTAGTTTCATATTACAATGAAATGAAGAATGTCATAAAATCAAAGCATCATTACATAAAATAAATACATAATTGCGCTGTAAAAAATATTTTTCCGACTGACTTTCTACCAAATAATAACTAACTTAATTAAACAGGCGTGTTTTATCATTTTATTTACCTGATCCTTATAAGCCAAATTTATACGCCAGAATTCACCTTTTCTTTTCTTATAAATTAGCAGACGAAAAGGGTGGACTGACTCTCGCCTCCCAATTACGTTATTTTTCAAATACGTATACAAAATTATAATAGTCGATGGTGTTCATGATTAATAAATTAATATATATTTTATCGAATATCAATAAGGCATATATTTCATTGGCAAAATTAAGTAGCACGACATACATTAATGCTCTTTTGCTGTTCACTAAAAACCAATAAATTGAATAAGTGGGAAAAGGTTCATTATATTTTTATATTTTTGGCTGACGATTAGATGGATTACCTGATGATAGGCTGTCGTTGACGCCGAGAAACATCGCAAACTCCTGAAAAATATAAAGTGTCTCTGTTCTGTGGGGGCGGGAAATCACGCTGGTCGATCTAGCCAGATCGATTAGAATTTCTTTGGTCTTTGTTTTATGAACTTATTCTCGGACAAGGCAAAGTAATTGTTTGTTATTGTAAAGTCCATTACTTTCAATTACAATACCACTTTTAAAGTCCAAACTAGTATTTTCTTCTGTGTCGTGTATACTCTACAAAGTATTTAACGTGTAGATATACATATATAAAAACATAACGTTTGAATTTGAATCAAACATTATTAATTAAATATCATCAACAACAACACCACCTCTTTATAACTTACGTCACAACCAGTTTAGGATTCAAGAAACCACGTTAGAATATTACACTGTTACAAATTCGTGTAATCCATACACTTGTTACTGACAGCTAACTGTTGTGGTTCCCCTTGGTAAGCAATGTACGTGTCTCACAACACACTTCTATCTTTGTAGGGATTTCCTTAAATAGGGCGATGTTTATGTACGCATTGTAAACGCTTTGGTTACAGTCAGTACCAACATGCGGTTGACACAAGGTTTCTAAGGAATCACTTTGTCTGTGAAAGATGTCACGTGCTTAGTATTAAATCCGGAATCTTATGATGATTAATAGTGGTAGGTTTATCGTCATATCTTTTGTGGGTAAAGGTATAAGTACCTAGTAAATTAACTGTATAAAGGTATCCATTTAATTGCAATAAAAAGTCCTAATTGCAATGAAAAGTCAATGGAGTCATGGATTTGGAAACGCCTAGCGAATTTTGGCTCAAATCCTGGGGTAGAAGTCAAGTACCTAAGTAAAATTCGTGAAAGGCCCACTCGTGACTACTCGACGAGGAAGTCTGATGAGCCTTCGAGATAATTACTCTTGTTCAACGGAAAGTAGGTCTTATTATATCTCCCTCAAATCGTTCCAAGTTTGATCGAAATTTATAAGTATGATTGCTCTTAGTATTTCCGTCTCAGTTCCAAGAAATTAATAAGTACTTATCGCATTTAATTAAATGCAATTATTATTCATATTTCAATAGCAGATGTTATCGCCGAATTGAAAAATTGACAACTAGTCATAGTAGATTATTTTTGCGAAATGTCAAAATTAATAGTTTTCATACTTTTCCGCATCAAATGGCATACATATTTCTTGAAAATGCGAAGAAGCATGCGAATTTTAATTGTATCGCAAAATTATGTAATATCTTTTTAAACTTTCGCGTTCATATTTACAACATATAATTACCCTGGATGTTTTTACATTTATTTGTATTCAAAAGTCGAAAAAAAAATTCAAACTTTCGACTAATTTAATTTCTCAATTCAGACCACAAACTAAAGATATTAAAATATGATGTTTCAAATACTTTGAGATTATTATGTTCCATCATTTCTGTACTAAACAACTGACTTGCCCTGAAAGCACATTCAGTGAAGAATTTCCAGTTAAGTTTGGAAACATATTTTTATTCTCTTATTGTTCAAATTATTAAGGCAGTCAACTATTAGGGTCGTTAAACAAAATAGAAATATACATAATGAGCAAACAAAAATATACCAAACACAATTTTGAATCATAAATTGTTTTCTAGTCAGGAATTAATCTTTCGCTTCTGATGAGAGGGAGAAACCACGTGACAATAGCAAACAATAATTTCAAGCGTCAACTTAATACGTTACCGTTTCCCTTTATATTTGAGATGGTAATAAATATCAGCCTGATGAATGGAATGTTTCATTGTTATTACTTGATAAGATACGTTACATATTTGCACATCATTGACGTAGGTACATTATATCTCTACACCTGTATTTAGAAACAACAATCCACTCTTGTCGTGGTCAGTAATCATATTGATTATTGCTAGCCTGATGTGATGTAATGGCAAAACAGCAGCTATTATGTAATATATATTTTCTATAATTTTTGCATGAAGGTCCAATCAAAACCCTAGTCTGGTCCTAGTAAAAAGTTTTTAAAATTCATGGCAATAATCAACTTTCCAATTTGATCTGTCAAATATATAAAAGGATTGTTTTAAGTGCACATCCCTGTAAACGGAATCGATTAACAAATATGTGACCACTATGATTAAATTACGTCTAATTGCTTGTGGACTCTTAATTCTAATGCTTAATAATAAGATTGTCTCTTATAATTCTTAACGAACTTACAAATTACAATGAAAATGTTAAGACTAAAACACCAACATTCATGTTTATACTAAACAAAAATAAACACTTCATTACGTACTTAAATTAAATTTTCATTTCACAGTTGCTTATGAAACTTCAACGAAGTCCGACGACCCGAACGAACTCTATTACCTATGTCTGTTGGCTCTGTCCATAGGATCATGAATATGCAAGTATTGGATTTGTAATTCCAGCCTCCGGGCATGGGCATAGCCTCATATTGTCACTAACCACAAAATTCTGTATAATCATCGAACCAATTAGACAAATGGATCATCATTATCGTCGTGATCCCGCTTAAAGTAGGACACGTCGATTCACACAGGAAACGTGTTTCCAAATCGATTTTTACAATAAGGTGTAAAATATATTGTGATTACATGTTACAATGGGGTCATGTTTATTCTTTTAAAAAACCTTTTTACTCTGTTACACGGACGTAATAACTTACAACATGCTTTTGTTTACACCGAAAACAAGTTGCGGGAAAAACATTTTCTTTTTTACAATGAGGCTAAAAGAATTTGTTATATCGCTCATGTTTTAACATTTAAATGCCTTTTACAATAATATCAGTTTAAATAATCTAAAGGTCTCTAAAATAGATAAGACCGTTTCAAAAACTATATAACGTGACTAATTTGATTTTAGACTCTCTAGACGAATATATCACAAAACTAAAATTTAGTAAAGTTTGGACGTTTCTGCGGTTTGTCTAATATGACTATAAGCTCCAGTGGCGCCAACTACTGAGAACAAAAATGAAAACTGTCATTACTGTAATGGCCGTTATCTAGCCATCTCATCTGTCAAAACCCTAGCTCTACTGCGGATATTACCTTTCCTACAAAGAGATGTCTCTTGGGACAGGTTCATTAATTTAACGTTTTAAAGTAAACAAATCTGACATCATAGTTGTCTATAGAATATATAAATTGAAAATAATTAAATTCTCGTTTATTCTATGTAAAACTTAATGACCTGACATATACTTTTTTACTAAGTTTAAACAACGGTCGTTTACATATATCTAATTACCTGTTTCACATTTATAACGACTAAAACCCAATAGTTCTATGATAAGAACCGCTTAAACTTTTGTCATTAATTTTGATCAACCCCAAAAATTGTAGATAACAACTATTACAATATACAGCTATTAGTGTTTCCTATAAACATTTTGTAAGTGCCATGAGCCGTTACACCACAGTATTGAAAAAAATACAGCTGCGAAAAAAACACAATTACATAAAGTCTCTTGTTGCACTTGTTAAAGTACCCAAAACCACGTTTATTTATCTTTTCCCAGCCTAGCTTAAATTAACTTAAGTTCGCTCGAACGACTGCCAACTTCGCTTTGACCTACTTTATAAAGCGTTGGTATTTGTAATTCATAAAACTCATGGGAAACGTAATTATAGGTGACGGTAGACGTGCGAATTGTAATGTGTTTAAGTGACATCAGAATGCCTGGGAAATGAATTAATGAGTTCGCGTATCGATTGTTTTACTGAAGTTACTTTAATTCTTAGTAAGTTATTTTCCAAATAAATAAATAGAAATGGATGAAGCAACTAGATTGACAGACAGAAATTCTATTTTGAAGTCTCAAAAGGTTTAAAATATAAAATTATTTTTGGATCTAAGTCTTATTTTGGTCGTTGTCTAATATCATCCTTTATTGTCTATTATTTCTTGCAGACACAACATCACCCACGTATTCCTTAATTGTGAAGGAAAAGGTGTAGGTGTACCTACACCCATTTTGCTACAGTCATGTTTTTCTACCAAACCTCGCGTATAAAAAAGAAAGACTAATCTTAAAATAAAAATATTGACGTATTATGTACCTAATATTTACGATTATAAAGTGCAATCTTATTTGTTAATAAAATGCTATTGCCTCATATTAAAATTTTACCCCTATACCGTCTAAAATAATAAAAAATATATTGTGATTTTCAAAGATATGACAAATGATAACAACAATGTAACCGCATCTATTCAAATTTTGGAGTAGGAAGCCCTCTCCTCACGTGGATCGTAAGGGTAAGCCAGTAAATCCTTCAATAATTGGATTTCATGATAGAATTTTGTGAACATGTTTGTCAATGTTTAGAATTTCGGTGCAGACATTTTGTGTGCGCACAATATACCACACATGTCACTAAATCCTTCTACAATTTTCTATATGTAAACAATTTCCTTGAAGAAGGTGGTTTAGATTTATTTTGACTTGTTCTTTGTGTTGTTTTTTTTTTGTTTTTGTGTTGACAAATAGTACAGCTTATTCAAAAGGTCATAGATGTACGAAGGTCTCGGTAACTTTTAATGAATTGTTTTTTTATTTATGGTATAGCTCTCTATGTTGTCTGATGATAAGCATGATGTGATATACAAAAGAACACACCCACCTAAAAGCCAGCAGTTCAGTCGGGCTTTGTAGATAGCCAGGTTGTTGTCCTTCGGAGAAAACATACTTAATAGAAACTCATAGTTTCATCACTTATTTGTTAATCAGCGTCGTGTTTTGCCGTGTGAGTGTGGTTACGTGAAGGCTTATCTCTCCCCTTATCCCTTAAAAGCCCTTAAATATCCGCAACCCCTATCCCCAAAAGGCCGGGAACGCCCTCGTAACTCTTTTGGTGTTGTTCGTCCATGGACGGCGCCGATTGCTTACCATCAGGTTATCCGTATGCTCGTTTGCCGCCTGTCACATACAAAAAAAATCCAGATAAAACAGAAGTACAACCAGTACTTAACCTATGTATTTTTTACTTTATAGGCATGATATTATGTCTTAGTATATTTCTATTTTAATTTATAATTAGAGTTTCAAAGTTAAACTTCAAAACTTATCCATAAATAATGAATATTCGTCTGCGAGCGATTAATTCAAGCGAAGTTAATTACTACGGTCACATTGCAGATGAAACCAGTTCCAATTTCATCATAATCTTGCAGAACTGCTTCGGGATTAAGCACGCTTCATTCTGAATTCCTTATTACAGATTCTGAATACCTTATAGGTCAAGTATTTTGTGAGTTTAACTAACAATAGCGTCTTCTTTTTAATTCCTAGATTTAATGAACTTTTATTTGTATTTCCAAATTCCCATGTAGTTTTTTGGTTACGATTTTTTAGAAATAAAGTCTATATTTTCTACGCCTTTTCAATTAAAAACAAAAAGTTTTATCTTTATTTTTCATCGTCTGTTGAACATAGGTATGAATTCCAGATCTAGCTGTTTTCTGCAACCCTTAACAACGCAATCAATTTTTAATAATTACTTCTTTACAAACAGCGTCAGAACATTAGCGTTTTAAATCGACAATATCCCACACGCAAATATGTGGTTTATGTAAGCACGTGTGTAATTAGTTTTCATAAAAAAACCAACGTATGCAATTCTAGCACTTCTAATATTTTTTAATGGCACGGTGCCAAACTCTTTTATCAGGATTACATTTTTAATATAAGTATTACACCCGGTTTCTGAAAGGCTTGTCAACGCTAAAATTAACTAATCTCCTGTTAAATCACTTGTCAGACATCTGATTGGTTGTTGATAATTCAGTCAACCAATCAGATGACTTGACAAGAAATTAAATTGATTTTAACATTGATCGGCCTTTCGGAAACCGGGGGTTAGTCTTCTTGCATACCTTCTTGTGGAAACAGAAAACAATGATAATTAAGGTTGAGTTTCTCACCTATTAAAACAACGGGGTGGCTATCTTCAGTTAGAAAGCGAAGTGAAACTATGTAAATATTTAATACTGACTTCCCTGACTTCCATTAATAGAAGCAACAAATACCCTAGATAACATTTCTCAAAATTGTTGTCGTATACTAATGGGAAAAGTAGCAACCTTTTATTTTCCGTCTATACTAATAAGAATAGAGGAGCCACAGAGACACAAACGTAAATTAAAAATCTATAGTGGTTCGTTTGACACACAAATAATCTAATTTCAAAATTAGCCTACTAAAATAATCCTACTTCTTTTTAATATGTTCAATAGTCGTAGTGAGTACCGGTAGAGCAATCATAGCATTGAATTCAAATAAAATATTTTTAACATAAGATACAATACATAATGAACTTCCATTAAACCCGGTTCAAACATTTTAGCTAAATGTCCATTTTCTGTCCTTTATCTTAGTAAGGCCGACTCCACACTGACCGTTTTCATAATTACTTTTTATTTTTAAATTTTTTAGAAGTACCTTCGTAGAACTATGAAATATTAAAAAGAAATATGTAGATAAACTATTTTGTAGCTTAATACTATTTAAAAGAAACATATAATATTACTAAATAAAATCATCGTCTATTATAACTTCTAACAATTTTTCATAATTATTTGTTTTGATGTCAATGTCACTGCTGTAATAATGTCAAACTGTCAATGTGTCAACTGCGTGTTTCATTATGGTTTTATTTTATTATTTAGCCTCATGTCTTTTCAGATTGTCAATATCATTGTTTGTTACCGACTTGCTTTCTGTACTTTTGAATTTGTGACAGTCAACCGGCAGGTTTCAAATTGTAGTATATAGTACTATAATTAATATAAACATAAATTTTGCATATAGTTTTAATATATTATATATTTACATTTTATCTATTTTCATATATTATTTAGTATGTCCGACGATGATTCATTTCGTTCAGCCTGTAGTTCCCTTGATTCTTTTTCTTCTCTTAACGATGGTTTTTCCATAAACAATTTCATAATTAGTGAATTTCAGAGATTCCATAATTGCCTTAACATCTGCCACGTTAATGCTCAAAGTGTCCCTCAACACCACTCGGAGTTATTGGAAATGTTTTCCAACACATTAATCCACGCTATATTGATATCAGAAAGCTGGCTCAAACCCGAGCTTCTTTCTACCTCTTACAGCCTACCTGGGTTTATCTTAATCCGGAATGACCGAATAGGCAAGAGAGCTGGGGGTGTTGCTATTTTTCTTCGAAGTGACATTCCTTTCAAAATACTATCTTCCTCTCCATCCCTTTACAGCGGCACGCCGGAAAGTTTGGTCCTTGAGGTGGACGTCAAGGGGGTTAAGGCTGTTCTTGGAGTGGTTTACTGCCAACCTGCTATCAACTATTTTTCTCATTTAGAAACCCTCTTCGATACTTTTTCCTCAGAGTATAAGCATCACATAATCATGGGGGACTTTAACACTGATCTAACAAAGTCTACTCCTAGGTCTCGTGGATTGAGGTCGATCCTTGATTCGTCGAACCTTTCACTTCTCCCATTAAACCCAACCCATTGCAATGTTGGATCCGACGATTCTTGGCTCGACCTCATGCTCGTGTCCTCCCTGGATCTTGTCATTAACCATGGACAGGTCGCGGCGCCTGGTTTGTCAAGGCACGATTTGATCTACTTATCGTATAAAATCAAGCCTCCTAGGCGGCGACCGGCCTTCGTACATATTCGGAACTTTGCGAGGATAGACAAGGTTAAACTTAACAGCGATGCTCAATCCATTGACTGGACCGACGTGTATCAATCACCTTCCATTGATGACAAAGTTAAGCTTTTAAACAAGTCTGTCTTTGATCTTTTGGACTCTCATGCGCCTTTGAGGGCTGTACGTGTCAGGCGTCCTCCGGCTCCTTGGATCACTCAGGGGGTTCGAATGGCTATGAGGCGTCGAAATAGGGCTTTCTGCAGGTATAAGAGGGATCGTAGTGAGGAGAACTGGGGATTGTACAGGATGGCGAGAAATCGGTGTAATCAGATGGTGAGAGCTGCCAAACGCCGATACATTTTTGATAATGTTCAGAATTCTTCACAGGCTGACGTATGGAAGTTCTTGAAAACTTTGGGCGTTTGTAAGACTTCATGCAGTGTTTTGCCTCCGAACCTTTCACTAAATGACCTTAACTTGCATTTTGCTACATCGTCCGGTTTGGCAGACGCCATTAAACTCCAAACCATTTCCGAAATAACTTCCAAGCCTATATCACTCCCTGATACTTTCTCATTTAGTCCCGTGACTGAACTTGAGATCCGACGAGTTTTTGCATCGGTTAAGTCCAGGACGGTGGGCTGCGACGGGGTGGGCCGAACCATGATTTCCCTAATCATCGACTACTTCCTCCCCATTTTTACTCATATAATTAACTTTTCATTATTTAACGGTGTATTCCCCTCAATCTGGCAAAAAGCACATATTATTCCACTTCCTAAAATCCCTAATCCCTATCAGGCCAAAGATTTCAGACCCATTTCGATCCTCCCCTACCAATCAAAGATCCTCGAAGCAGTTGTTCACAAACAAATCTCCTCCTACATCTCAAAACACAAACTTCTGTCTTCTTTCCAATCTGGTTTTCGGCCCGGCCATAGCACCTCTACCGCCTTGCTGAAAGTCACTGAGGATGCGAGGTATGGTATGGGGGACTCGAGGTTAACTGTGTTGGTTTTAATCGATTTCTCCAACGCTTTCAATACGGTCGACCACGATGTCCTCCTAGCCATGCTAACTCAGTCTGGATTTTCGTTATCGTCTCGGGAGTGGTTCTCAGCTTATCTTCGTGGTCGCCAGCAGGCGGTTCGCGTTGGTCAGGAACACTCTGACTGGTGCGGGCTGACGGCTGGGGTACCGCAAGGCGGTATATTATCTCCTCTGTTGTTTTCTTTATTTATTAATTCTATCACTAGTCGTCTCACATGCTCTTATCATCTGTATGCCGATGACTTACAACTGTATGCTCAGGCTGGTGCAGCTGACTTGCGGATCTGTATTGAGCACCTTAACGCCAACTTGGTTACTATTGAAGATTGGTCCAAGAAGTATGGAGTCACTGTGAATGCTGGTAAGTGTCAGGCCATTGTGTTGGGTAGTTCCTCTTATTTAAACCGTTTGAATATTAAACACCTTGAGCCAATAATATTCAATAAAGTTGTCATACCGTTGTCTCCTTACGTAAAGAATTTGGGCCTATACCTGGATAGTAGCCTCAGCTGGAACCAACACGTTGCGCAGGTTAGTAAGAAAGTCACTGCTACGTTGCGATCTCTCTATCGATTCAAAAACTTTCTGCCCTCAAATACAAAAGTGCTACTGGTCCGGTCCCTTGTGCTTCCTGTGATTGATTATGCTGATGTTTGTTACTCTGACCTATCCCAAGACCTTCTGAATAAGTTAGATCGAATGCTCAACAACTGTATTCGGTTTATCTTCGGTCTTCGTAAATACGATCACATTTCTTCCTTTCGCGCTCAACTTAAATGGCTTCCTATCCGTGAGAGGAGATCTCTCAGATCTCTTTGCATGCTCTTCTCTATTCTAAACGATCCTTGTGCTCCTGAATACCTAAAGTCTTGTTTCCAGTTTCTGGGGAGTTCTCACAGCCGTAATCTCCGTTCAGCCGAAAATCTGATTCTTGAGATTCCATCCCACCGAACATCCTTCATTTCTAACTCCTTCACAGTCTATGTTATTAAGTTGTGGAATGCACTACCGCTTAATATAAAAAAGGCTCCAAATAAAATAACTTTCAAACGCTATGTTTATGAATTCTACTTAAAGTCACTACAACGCTGAGTCTCGGTCTTTATCTATTATATATTAGTATGTTTATTGTATATGTATTGTTGCAGAAATTATTTATGTAGTATATATTACTTATATTAACATATATTTAGGTAGTATTTAGAAGTAAATATTTTGAGTATCTATGTTGTAAAGTCTATGTATGTTATTTATTCCTTATAATAATTACACATGCCTATTTTATCGCCGATTTCCTATTTAACCCTAAGGTTGACTGGGAGAGAATGCCATATGGCATTAATGTCCGCCTTATGTACCATCACTTGTTTTGTGTACATTAAAGTTTAAAAAAAAAAAAAAAAAAAATATTGAAAGATCTAACTAAAATTTCAATTTGTTATTTTTTTTATAAACTTAATGTAACTAGAACTATCTAACTATGTGATATATTATTTTACAAAAATAAATGTTTGCTTTTTGCACGACTGTGAGATTGGAATTTCCCATTTTGACATAAAGCTCTCCTGGGTCTAGACCAAAATTGTATTGAGAACGATTGATAGTTCCCGACTACAAGGCTTAAAAATAAATCACATGAAAAATAAAAACGCTGATGAAGTAACCAGCTATAACTAATTATAAACTGCCAATTTCAAAGTCAAAGTGATTAAACCATTATCGGCACTCTCAACACTCTCAAAGTACAAAAAAAACCATTAATGTTTTCAGAAACAAAATTAAATGTAATAGGATAGTTTAAAAAAATAACACTTGTGACGTTGTGCTTGATATACGTTTTTAGATTTAAAATTTTACATGCCTACAAACTGTATACAAAATAGATTCTAATTTGGAATAAAACTATGTGAGAGGCAAACAATACTGCAATTTGAGCTCACGTACTGCACTGCATAAACAGTAGGTACGTAACTTTACACGTACAACGCAATAAATGAATTATTTCAGGTAGTGACATTTCAGACCACGTGTGCATACCCTTACTTCTATTACGTGCTATTATACAGCATTAATTAATGTCATGTGAATATACCACATCTAAAACATTAAGCAAATGGATTCCTTTCGTGCGATCGTTAAACCTCAGCATTATATAAATAACAGCCCTATTCCAACCTTCCATTCCGACTCTGCTTACGTTGCTGTTAAAACCAAATAACAATTTTCCATAATGAAGATACAACTACTCAATAAAATCTTAGAGCACATACTACTGTTGTACCGGCGAATGAAGTACACTTGTAGAAATCTCACGGTACACGGCCCCAGTTACCTCGTCCGTAAAGATGTTCACATCGTCTACAGAATAATATACTTCATCATATATGTGCACGTGTGGATCATAGCCGTCGCTACAATACGCAAGTACTACGATCATTATCAAGAAAACACCATACGCTTCACGACGCGCACTGATTACCTCGATTGGAATACGACATTTGCCTCGGTTACCGTTTGCGAGATTGCAAACATTGAAAAAATATGGACACTTAGCAAGCTATTTGATATGCAAGATGGAGATATGTACGATCGATTCCTTGCCGAAATTATATTCTTCAGCGGTACATGCTTCAGTTGTAAGTCGTCGTGCTTAAATACAACTTCATGTTCACGTGATTATTCCGAAATAGTGTCAAAATTCCGCACGCCCTGCAAACACCTCTTTAAATCATGTAAATGGAACGGCCGAGATATTAACTGCTGTAAGCATTTCAAACCTCTTCAAACGGAATACGGGACATGCTATTCAATTAACAACAAGCACGTTGGCGGAAATCACAAAATGTTTTTCACGTCCGCCCTAACAAAAAACCCAGAGGCGGGAGTTCTCGAAATAACTTTATCACAAGATTACGAGTCATTCATCCATTCACCTGAGGACATACCCTTTTGGAATATGGAATATGATCGTAGAATAACGACGCTATATGGAGCCGAAGCCACTGTGAGGTTTTCAATTATGGATGTGGTGAATGAGCCGGAAGTACCTTTGATCGCTCTTGAGGTACGTCAATGTAGATTCCCTGACGAGGTCCCAGCGAGCTACATAGCTTTCAAGCAATACAGCTATTCTGTGTGTATTATTCAATGTCGAATTGAAGCCCAGCTGAAGCTGTGTAACTGTACACATCACTTATCTCCGGTCCAATACAAAGATCGATACTGCGGCTTGGAGGGATTAAAGTGTTTAACGAAACACTACCAAACGCTGAGGAAGCTGCAAGTTCCGGGCACGAACGAAACGGGTTTGAACTGTGATTGTTTGCCTTCATGCACGGAGCCGGATTATAACGTGGTGTCGAAGAAGTTGCTGGAGCCTGAAAAGGAGTTAAAAGTTAAGCCTGCCCGGTTTATATTGAATAATAGACCTTACCAACGAGTCACTCGGCAGGTTGCGCGCACCACTCTGGACTTGGTTGTTGCTATAGGCAATTGTTTTGGCCTTTGTTTTGGGGGTTCATTGCTTTCGATCGTTGAAATAATTTACTATTTATGCTTTAAACGCTGGAAGTTTGCGTAGGCATTATTAACAATTAAAAAACATACAAAAGTCTTATTGATAAAGATTGTTGTTTTTTGTATAAGTTTTTCTCAATAAATGTAACGAGGGACATACTAGACTAGTTTACGTGTAAAAATAGAATTTACGAAAGAACAAATTTATCGAAGCCAGCTGTTGGCCCATTTGAGTTAGGTCCATTCGTCCGAATTTCGAAGCAGACAAAGTCGGTAAATAAGTTTCGTATAGCGGCAAGTTACACGTTCCCCGTTAATATTAGCAACAGAAATAGTTTGCGGATGATGTTTGTTATTAGTTTTTATGTGTTACTGCTGTTTGAAAGTAGTTACAAATGTTAGAGCTGTTGTTCATTGTTGTGTGATATTATTTTCTTTGTACAAAGTGCTGTCTTTTGGAAGCTATTTTATTCTTTTTACAACCCGTACAAGCAAGGTTTGCAGGATTTATTAGTGACTGGGGAATTGACCCTGTTAATTTATACAAGCAAATATTTGGGGTAATAAATAGGATGATATCGATCCCTATAGATTCAGTTGTAAGCTTTAAGATTCCTAAGAATAAAACATATAAAATATTTGATTTGTCGCTCTCTTAATGTTAAACATATTTTCTAAAACCAATTAAAATTAAAAAAAGAATAGTCTACCTACGAAATTATAAAGAAAAACTAATATAACAATAATGACTCTTCGTTTATTCGTTAAACAAAAAAAATATATAAAGTGGAAAGGTACTTTTAAAAATATACATACTAAGGGCATAACTTTTCTTTTCCATTTTCCGGTTATTTAGCACTTTTTCGGAATTCAAATTTTATATGAAATTCTCGTAATCACAAAACAGTTACCTACATTTGGGAACGTAATCTACTGAACAGATAGGATTTTAATACAAGTAATACGTTACCCAAATTACATTTACGTTTGTAACAAAACAATTCTTTTTATGACTCTTATCCCTTTATTAACATTTTTGAAGAAAATTTAAATAGTTTTTTTTTTATGTTCTTCTTTTTATTCATTTAATTTTAGAGGCATTCGAAGCATTGTATGTAAACTGTTTATGATGACTAAGTGGGAGAGCCATGCTTCGGCACGAATAGGTCGGCTCGACTGGAGTGATACCACGGCCTCACAGAAAACCGGCGTGAAACAACCACAGCATTGTGTTTCGCCGTGTGAGTGAGGTTACCGGAGGCCCAATCCTTCCCCTCCCCCAATCCCTAAATCTCCAAATCCCCAATCCCCAAAAGGTCGGCAACGCACTCGTAACTGCTCTGTTGTTGCGGGTGTCCATGGGCGGCGTTGATTGCTTATTATCAGATAATCCATCTGCTCGCTTGCCGACTTATCACATAAAAAAATGACTAATGAAATATTTCAAACTAGCTACTCTCGCGCGGTTTCACCCGCTGCGTGCTCAGCTCCATTTAATCGCAGCGTGATGTTTTGTAGCCTAGAGCACTCAGGAATATTGTAGCTATCTAACAGTGAAAGAATTTTGGATATCCGACTAGTGGTTCCAAAGATTACCTCCTACATACAAACATACACACTTATAAATGTATAATAAAAATTTTACCTCTTTATAATATTAGTATATAGATATATATTTAAAAGAGTATCTTTCCACATTATTATTAATTATAAGTATTAACATTGAATTTTAATGTCATTATATTCCTTTTGTTATCAACAGATGGTAAAGAAGAGATTTTTAGTTTCTTACAAAAAAGATTTCTTACTCGTTTCCATTTCAAAAACACTGGCCAATAAACGACTTATTTTACATCAGCGCTTCCGATAAAAAATGATATTACAATAAAATATATTTCTGTATTCTTCATTCCATCTGATTTGATAGAATCAAACGTACTTATATAATATCAGTCAACGTAGTTTCCAATTTCCTCTCGCAGTACCCAAAAACTTTTTCCTTTCGTAAGAAATTTAGATCACAATATGTGATGCGAAGGGTCAATTTTGTAGCTACGGTACCCTATCAGGGACCCAATTTTTTGACAGATTTCTGAATATTATTGAAGCGTTCAATCAAATGTAACTAATAATAAGTGACCTTATTTTTCAAGTTTTATTCTAGAGACCTTAAAACTAGGAGTTTTGTAGATAGGAACAATAAAATCGCTCTTTATCTGCTCCGGCTTTTTGGTAACTAGTTTAAGATAAATTGGTACTTTCTAACTAAATGGGGTCACTAATTCGAACCTTTAAATTATTTTCGTAATAAACGAATACCTATAATTTAATAAATTAGATTTGTGCTTTTCGCTTCGAAAAGAAATTAGGTATTTCAGATATTTTTTCAATCGTATTTATTTGCGAATTATTTTTGTCTCAAGCTTTTAAATATTTATTTTCTTATAATAAAATATACATTGCCCCAAAGAATTAATTATTTGTAAATAGAATAAAACCTGTTTAAAATACTGACTAATTAATGTATGAATTACGTAATTTATTCGACTAACATACTCAATAACTTTCCGGTCATAACGACTCGTAATCATGAATCGTGTGTATTCAATAAAAGAAAAACTTCACAATTTACGAGTACTCTACACAAATTTACATAATACTTCAGACATTTATAAACAATATGAGCACAATATGAGCAATATCGCAAAGCAAAGATCCACAAAAGGCACTTGACACCAGCCCAATTTCGAACAGCAATCAAACAGGATCTGTAACATGGTAAAACAATTACAAACTTCACAACTATTTACTTAAACGATCTCAAACAGATGTTGGTAAAGTTGGGAAACGTTAAATTTATCAGACTTCAAATTGAGGGGTAGTGTAATTCGAGGTTCCTGTGTGATGGGCAGATTGCTCATCACTATTAAGGTTCACATTCTTAATACCAGTCGCGAAAATAATTGGAATCCGACCAATCATACTAAGTAATAAAAACAAAATGTGTTTGAGAGCCATGCTTCGGCGCGTATGGGCCTGTTCGATCGGAGTGATTCCTCGCAGAAAACCGACGCAAAGTCTTACGTTATGTTTCGTTTCAGGTTATTTCAACGCTTTCCCTCTCTCCCATCCTCAACTCTAAATACTCTATCCTTAAATCTCTAATTACCAAAACAACGCACTTCTACTGACTTCTTTGGTATAATGAGTGTCCATGGGACGCCAATTGCTTACCTTGCTCGTTTGACCTATGGCATAAAGAAAAACGTAGTAAGTGCAATATTTACGTCCGTACGTCGACGTATATCTGTTATTAAATAATAAAAAATCATTGTTTTATTTATCAACGTGGGGAAGTGTTATTTTCAGATATTATTTTTCGATTCATCAACGAGCATTTAAATTTTTATCAATAATAGTTTGGAGGACAGAGATATCGTCACTGAATATAGCCTTCATAAAAGCAACTCAACAATTATTTGTAAGGAAATGCCATATTAAAACTGATATATTATTACGTTATAAATCGATGGTAAAAAGTTTTTTAATTTCTTAGAAACGTATCATTCGAATATCGAAATTCTATTTACAAAAATAAATAACGAACTATTTAAAATAAAGACATAATATAGAGGAAGTTCTAATGGTTCAATTTCCAATTAAATTATTAACAGTTCAAAGATTTCTTTGATAAATTATTAAATTGTGTTCATTGAAGTGTGTCTGAATGATAAGTTATTACCTACTGAAATGTTATCTGAAATCATATTTGTCATAAAATTAATATATTTATACTTAATTAGCTACTCTCCCGCGTTTCCACCCGCTGCTGGGCTCCATTTATGTTTTATAGCCTATAGCACGCAGGAATATTGTAGCTATCTATCAGTGAAAGATTTTTGGCAATCCAACCAGCTGTTCTAAAGATTACCCCCTACATACAAACTTACAAATTTTACCTCTTTATACTATTAGTATAAACATATAAAAATTACATTTTAATCTGATACTTCTATACGATATAAACCATTTGAAATACCTAGGATTTTCGTGACAAACGATTTGAGAAAGCTTTGTATTACCGAGCATTTAATACTGAACACTCAGGTGACAAGCTAGAGTAAGACAATACCCATTGTTCCTAACGACAGCTAAAGGGAGAAACCTCGTCTCAGACTTGCAATACATAGGTAAACAACTTTGAAATACCCAACTAAAATACGATTAAATGGCATTTTAGCAAACTTTATATATATATGTCGCAGATTACAGCTTTAAAATATTATTCTTCCAAAGGGTGTAAATATAAGTGTGGGAGAGCCATGCTTTGGCACGAATGGTAGGCTTAACCGGAGCGATACCACGGCCTAACAGAAAACAACCTCAGCGTTGTGTTTCGCCGTGTGAGTGAGATTACCAGAGGCCAAATTCTTCACCTTCCCCAATCCCTCCCCAGTTCCTAAATCTCCAAATCCCTAATCCCTAAAAGGTCGGCAACGCACGTAACATCACTCCTCCGTTGCGGGTGTCCATGGGCGGTGCTGATTGCTTACCATCTCAATGGCAATTTGCCGACCTATTACATAAAAAAAAATGCTAATATACAAAGAACAAGCTTCCATGTTTCGAGAGGAATAGGCCAGCTTGACCAGATTGATGGCACGGCCTCAAAAAAAAGCGACGTGAAGCAACGCTTGCATTGTCTTTCGTCGTGTTAGTGGGGATACCGGAGGCCCAAAGCTCATCCTCAAATGTTTAAACCCTATAAGGGCGGCTGCGGTCTTGCAATTAATCTGGTGTTTTAAATGGCCATGGGCGGAGCTGATTGCTTACGATCAGGTGCTACGCATTCTCGTTTGCCATCATAACCATAAAAAATATTGACATCCATCGACATATTACAATCATCATCAGCCAATACATAAGCGCCCACGACTGAGCAAAAGGTCATTCTCACATGACAAAATTGCTTGCTTAAATGGGGCGACTTGCCATTTCTAATTTTGAAATTAAAAGTCCAGGCTTTCTCACTATATTTCTATTACCGTTTATCGATGGTGTTGA